AATGATTAAAGTGTCTGATTTTAGCCAGTCTGTCAGCTCGGATGACCTCACAGCGGCTCCTTCACACGTCCTCCACACAAAACGAGCCGGTGGCCTTAAAAAAAGGTTTTTCAGAATCACCACTGCTCCAAAATAAACACGAGACGCTCGCATGACACAACAGTCGAAAGCAAATGTGGTCCGCAGAACGAGTCCAGTGGAATAACTCGTTTTCAGCCCGAGCTTCACGCTTCTCACCGCAGCGGTGTCAAACGCACGTTCCCGTGACGCCAGCAACCTTCACTCAAAAGACGCTGCGTTGATGAAGGCGCTGACACTGCTCCCCAACGCTCGCCGGCTTGCATCAGCATAAATGTGAGACCATAGAACGAGTCCAGTGAGGAAACCTCGCTCTAAGCAGGAGCGGCACACGTCCCACCGCAGCGGTGTCAAACGCGTGCTCCCGCGACGCCAGCAACCTTCACCCAAACGGCGCGGCATTGATGAAGGCGCGCACACCACTCCCCAGCGCTCGCCAGCTCACATCAGCATAAACGTGAGACCGCAAAACGAGTCCAGTGAGAAACCTTGCTCTCAGCAGGAGCGGCACGCGTCTCACCGAAGCAAACGCATGCTCCCGTGGCACCTGCAGCCTTCACTCAAGGCGCGGCGTTGATGAAGGCGCGCACACCACTTCCTAGCGCTCGCCGGCTCGCATCAGCATAAATGTGAGACCACAGAACGAGTCCAGTGAGACACCTCGCTCTCAACAGGAGCGGCACGCGTCTCACCGCAGCGGTGTCAAACGCGCGCTCCCGCGGCACCAGCAGCTTTCACCCAAACAGCGCCGCGTGGATGAGGGTGCACACGCCTCTCCTCAACACACGCGGTCCACATCGACATGAATGTGAACCCACAGCCTGAGCGCGGCACAGAGGCGCGCTCAGAGCCCTTTCGAGGAAGCCTCGCATTGGGTCACGCGGAACACACTTCTGCGGCGCATGACAGTGGTCGAGGCTGTAGACTGGCTGACGTCCGTAAGAAATATGACGCACCACGTAAACGCACGCCCACTCTATGAACGTCGTGCGGAGTGGCTGCGAACATGCTCGCCAGACAGATGGATGGCCAAGGTGATAAGCAGGGGTTACACGCTGCAATTCGCAGCTAGACCCCCTCCATTCGGAGGAGTTTTAGAGACGGTCCTGTCATCACCAGACCAGGTCTCATCCCTAAATGCAGAGGTACAGGAACTTCTGGTAAAAGAGGTAATTTCCAGAGTTCCCGACGGAGAGGAAAACACAGGTTTTTACTCACGTTACTTTCTGGTTCCAAAACGGACCGGAGGAACGAGATCGATTTTGGACCTGTCAGTTTTCAACAAGGCGATTGTGGACAGACCATTTCACATGTTGACAACCAGACAACTGTTGGACAACATCCAGAGAAACAACTGGTTTAGTTTCATCGATCTGAAAGACGCCTACTTCCCTCGCGTCTCGTACGTTCTCAAAGTGTGTGGAGACGGCCCTGCAACCATTACACAGAGCAGGAATGAGAGTTTTGTTTTACCTAGACGACCTGTTGCTGCTGTCAAGCTCCAGACAGGAAGCAGCGGCGCAGACTCAGATGTTGACATCACATCTGCTAAATCTGGGCTTCGCCATAAATTGGAAAAAAAGCTCGATTCTCCCGGCCCTGACGATTGTTTTTCTGGGAGTGGAGCTAAACTCGACCACCATGAGGGCTCGTTTATCACAGACAAGAATTGACACTGTAAGAGTCCAGCTCCGCCACGTAAGACCTGGCAGAGTGGTAACAGCCATTTCCGTCATGAGGCTGTTAGGAACGATGTCGTCAGCTCACACAGTGGTCCCGCTGGGCTTACTCCACATGTGATGCCTCCAGAGATGGTTTGCTCGTCTGTGCGTGGATCCGGTAAAGCAAAAGAGAAAGATGATCACTGTTCCTCCCTCCATGAGAACAGACCTCCAACACTGGGAAAAACCCCTGGTTCTGTCGGAGGGAGTCCCCGTCAGCAGACCTACGTCACACATGTCAGTCTTCACAGACGTGTCTCTGTCAGGCTGGGGGGGGGGGGACATGTCTATCTCAAGCTGTAAGGGCGCTGTGGCCTCATCACACAACAGCTCATATAAACATTCTGGAATGTCGCACGGTTCTGAATGTGATTCAACACTTTGCTCATGTGCTACAGAATCAACATGTGTTGATTCACACAGACAACAAGGTTACTGCTGCTTACATAAACGGGCAGGGGTGTGTGCGCTCAGCCCAAATGTTACACATTGTGAGAAAACTACTGTGTTAGGCACACCAAAATCTGCTCTCCATCAGAGCAGTGTACGTCCCCAGTGTTCTGAACAAAGGAGCAGATGTGATGTCCAGGGGCGGTCCGCGTCACGGGGACTGGAACCTCCACCATGATCTGATGGCCCAGACGTGGCAGAAATTTGGCAAAGCGGCTGTGGACCTGTTTGCGACACGAGAAAACGCTCAGTGTCAACTATGGTTTTCACTGAGACCGCGAGACGAACCACCACTGGGGGTGGACGCGTTTGCTCACAGCCCAAGGCCCAAAACGCATCTTTACACACACACCCACCCCCCCC